TTGTAACAAATATAAAAAACCCGGGATATGTAATTGTAAAATTTTAGAAGATATATATGGACTAACATGTCTTAAGGGTTTAGTCGCAGGGTATTAAAATTGTCATTAACCCTAATCTTTTAAAAGTAGTTTGGCGGAATGAAAAATATTGGCTAACATAGTAAAACACAGGGACTAAATTAGCCACATTGAACACACTGAGACTAAATTAGCCACATTGAACACACTGAGACTAAATTGACCAAATGAGTAAAACACAAGGACTGTTTTGACATTTAAGCCTTGAGCTTAAAAAGAATGGGCCTGCCAAGGCAAGCATTTGGAATTATGGCATAAGAATCTGTGTGTCTGACCGAATGGAAGTGTCCGAGGTTCGAAGAAAATGACAAGTGACTTAAGAAATATTCAAAACTGGGAGTATATGTGACCAAATACAAGAGGAACTTTCGGGCGCTCATGACCGGAGGCAATCTTTCCACAGCCAATCACAAGCAGTCACGTGTAAAGAAAACTCTAAAGGTATTGTGAACCACAACCCAAGTGGTGGTTCAGCTCGAGCGCTTATTAAGCCTATAAATAGAAGGCCCCCAGCAGCACTCAAAAGGTCCAGCACCAATCAAAAAGCCGAGACTTGTTCTTCTCTCGGCCAACAATCGTTTGCAAAGAAGTCAAATAACACAAGTGCATCCACTCATCCATCCATTCATCTACAAATCATTCGCATGGCCGTCCGTGCTGGCATGCCCGCAAACCACACCACACCAAACATGACGTCTTTGTTACGCTTAGTCCACCAGGCTCAATTGAGTTGTTTTTATTTTTAAAATAACCAACGCTTGCCCCTAAAGATTTCAGAGGGTCAGCACTCCTGCTCCTCAGTTCCTCTAGTGTCTATCATCAGTGACACTTACGGAGATGAGGATGCCTTTAAAGTGCACATGGCACTTACCTAGCAGATTATGGTAGCGTTCTTTGTAGTTGTGGTGGCGTATCCACCACCATTTTCTATCCTTTACTCTGATGACTGGTTCTTCTTCCGTGGCTGTGGTCATGCGTCGATGGCTTGTTGTTTGGTCATGCGGTGATGCATCATTTCCTTGCTATTTTTTTAAGGTTGTGTTTTGTTGTATGTTTTATTGTATTTTTGTGACCCTTTCCTTTGCCTTCCTTTGCTTGTAGTTATGATCCATTGCTACCTTTTGTATCTGTATTCGTCTGATGTGTTTTGACCTGGTTGTTTTTTGGTTTGGCCTTTTGGGTTTGCAATGAAACGATTTCGACCAAAAAAAAAAAAAAATCTGCATTTGAACTACAGTAACCAAAAAATTGATAATTAAAGTCTTTAATTTAAAGACAATGTCAATTTTGTTTTTTCGTACAAGCGATATTTTAAACTAGAAGGGATGGTGATTTCTCTCACACATACAACTATGAGAATTCGAACATAAGACATCTGTTCTGTAAGTCAAAGCCCTTTTTCAACTAGATTAGACCTCATTGACAAAAACGAGGTCAATTAATTAAGTATATTTATATGCGAGGGCAACTTTTTAGGTTTTTTTTTTCTCTCTAAATTTAACATAGCTGCCAAAATGTGGGCTTTTTATCTCACAAATTTATGCAAAAGGATTTTTTTTTTTTAAAAGGAATTTCATATGTAAAATATAATTAAAGAAATGACTAGTTGTTGATTTTGAGTTTCCTTCTCTAAAGGCTTAAATGTTAAAATAGTTCATGTGTTATACTCATTTAGTCAATTTAATCCCCGTATTTTTAGTTTGGCTAATTGAGTCCTTGTGTTTTTATTCCATTAGCCAATGTTGTCAATTCTGTCAAAATACCGTTAAAAAAATAATAAAAAATTTATTAAGTTCATTTTACAAATAAAATAACAAAATAACAAAATTTAAATTAAAAAAATCTAGAAACCGAAAAACATAAACAAAGCAACCTCTATGTCATCTTCTTCTCCCATGCTGCCTCCACCACCACAACAACCATCAGAACTCCGAGTCACCATCCCATTCTCTCTCTCCTCCCTTCACTCCCCAATCCAAGCCACCCATGCCTACAACTCCTCCATCCATCTCCGTCTCTATTTCCCCTCTCTCTCTCTCTCTCTCCGTTTTTGTTCAATGGAGAATTGAGAGAGGACTTGGAAATTCCTGGGGTTTTGTTATTGGTCCCCTTTTTGTTGTTCCAAGGTGGTGGGATGGATTTGTCTAAGGTTGGCGAGAAAATTCTACCCTCCGTTAGGTCTATTAGATCGCAAGGTCCGCATAGAGGGCGAGGTGTCGGCAGTGAAAGGTATAGGGGTTGGGGGAGAGAGGGGGTTGCTGGTGCATGTTTTTTTTTCTTTTTCTACATGTTTTAAATTTTATAATATTTTTAAAGAATTATATATATATATATATATATTTTCACATAACACATCCGCATAAACGTAGGTACCACAATTGCCACGTCACCAATTTAACATAAAATCTAACGGTGAAGTTGATGGAGGGCCTAATTTAGTGAAGTTTAAAAACGTTAGATATGAAATTAATGAAATTGAAACCTCATGGCCCATTTCGATTCGATAGCTAAACATCCAGGGTTAAGATGTCATTATAATTTTTAAAAAATCAATTAAAACATAAGGGGAAAAAACTCATTCTCTCTCTCCCCTTGTATTTTCTTTTACCCAATAACCCAGCCCAAGCTTGAAGAAATCATAGC